TGCTGAACCTAGTATGAGCAAAATGCCTGGTTTCTGGGAGGCTCCCAGGAATTCAACCCTGCATTGGGTTCTGCTGAGGCTCCTCAGAGCCTACACAGTTCAGATCACACATTTCAGGGTTCAGTGAATTGTCTTTTTTGTCTCATTAATACTGCCTATCTCCGTACAAAATCTTTTTTCTGATATATCTTTCTGACCATAGTCCCTCCTTCAGAGCAAGGTATAGGGCTGGATGGAGCTGGTAGTTGCTGGGGGAAGAGAGGCCACTGCTACTGGGGAAGAAGAGAAGCCATGCCACATGAGGAGCAGGACAGGCAGTACATTTGGAGGTCCTAACAGGCGTACATGCATGTATGCACCCTGATTCCCTCAGCATTGCTGGCAAAGCCACATCCAGTCATCAGTTCTGCACTCCCTTTTTCATCTTGTACTAAATCCCATCTTCTCTGTTTTAATGAAAATATTTTCACTGTGTTGCTAAATAAAACGGGACCAGGCAATGAGCTCACCCACTGAGCCCTAAATCACCCACATCACTTAACACACTCCTTGGCATAATTTTGGCCTGAGTCAACAAGTCCTAAATAATGCCGGGGGGGATAACACTTGCTGGGGACTCCTTCCAGTGGACAATATGAAGATGCCTAAACCACCGGGGCTGGCTCCTTGTCTCACACTGTCCTCCAGCACTGTCCCAGCAGTGTCTGAATCCCCAGGTACGCAGCATGGTACACATCAGGGGTATGCAACACATGCCCTCAGTTTCACGCTATGAAAAAACTGGTCTGGCAGACCGAAACCTGAGCCTTCACACAATTTTAGCCACCGCACAGAAATAATCATTATGCTATACAAGTGCTGGATGGGGGCCCAGAGGAAACCCATGGCCAAAAGCTATGTAGTGTGGGCATTGCCCATCTGTGACTGGTTCTGTTTCATTTAGTAGTACAGACGTAGCCATGGTCATCTGCCTCCTTGGGCTGTCTCTAATTAATTTACATAATTTAAAACTCAGTAGGGTGAAAACAAGGGGGTTTTTATTATACTCTATCCAAACATATACTGGTTTTCTGTCTATGTAACCCAGCCGAAAGCTTGCTTTGAGCCAATGCACTCAGCTTTTAAATGGAGCTTTGTGTAAAATTCTGAGAGTTTTCCTCCCAGCTGGTGATCTCCAACCACAAGCCCCCTGCTCCCCACCCAGACACAGCTTTTGGAGATCACAGTTCAGAAGTACACAGCTGGAATTAAAAATACTAGACCAGCTGTCCTCATTGTCTCAATTGCCCCTTTCAGCTGCTGCATCCTACATCAAGCCTCACTTTCTGGAGTCTGTTCCATGTAAAAGGAAAACATTAACACTTACTTGTATTAATATTCTTTCCAAACCTTTGCCAGCATTCTCAGCTCCCACCTCTTTCCTTCCCCATTTTCAGCTGCACAACTCTGCTTCGGTTCAGCTTAATATTTTCTGGGAGGCTGAGACTCCTTATTATCATTCCCAGCCCACTCTTGTAATTGAACTATACATTTCAAAGATTTGCTGGAGAAGGAGTCTTTTATCTGGTCACTGATCTGATTATTTGTCTCTGCACCCATGATTGCAATATCTTGGATTCGTGGGTTTTTCTGTTATCACAAGTCAGTTAACTCCTTCCCTATTGCATGGTGGGGAGAATTATCTTCCTTTTCCCATTCTCAAGATTTTTTTTTTGCAAATTTCTTACAGATATATGATTGAAAGATCCATTTGAATAAGTATGTTAGAGGAAAGGAGACAGTGAAGATATTTGTCAGAAACAAAGATTTAATGCTATTCTGAATTGACTCATCTATATAATTAAAATAAAATCAGAGAATTGTTAATGCTAGGAGATGGATACTGCTCTGAACTCTGCTGTTTAAAATATTTGCAGTTTTTTGTCTGCCTGTCTCAAATAATGGCCGCACCACAGGGCCTGACCATTCACATACTCATGAGAGCTAGCAAAGCTCACAGAAGCTGCAGCAAGAAATGCAGCACCTGAATTCAAGCAGAAAGGCCACTACATGAAGGTATAACACTGAGCGCTGAGACATTTACTTAATGAGATAAATAATTACAGGGCTCCTTACTTGCTAACATTTGAGCTCCCTTTCTACAGCCTACTGGGTCTGGTCTGAGAGCACCAACTCCAAGAATGGACTCAGTGTCTGATAACCACAGCAGGGCTGGGAACTGTGGCGAGCTCTGAAATCACAGGGCGATGGGACTAGAGGGAAAAGAAACAGACAAAATCTTTTGTGCCAGTCTCATTCACATAGTATCTATCAAGTCTCCAAGTCAGTTTGGTCATGAAATATTCAAAGAGAAGAGCTAAGTTTACAAATATACACAATATTGTATATAGTAGAGTCTAATCCCCATCTGTCCCCATTGGGTGGTAATCATCACACTCTGTTTTCCAGCAAAATGAAGACCACGATTATTGTTACAAAAGTAAAATTTGAGTCTAATGGGAACATTTGTCATTAAACTAAAGAAAAACCAAATATTGCTGTTAAACTGTGCTTTCATTAGTAGCAGAATGAACTCATGAATGCTGTTAGTTGCAGTTTTGCTGCTTGTTTTCTCTTGCTGTTTTATTCATAGACCCTGTGTTTTTGCTAAAATGGGAATGATAAACAGCTGCAGAGCATCCTGGGTCACAAACTGAAATGGCCTCTTTCAAGGCATGTGAAGCTGATAAAACTGCAGAACCAAGTCTAAATCAAAATCCAATGCTGGCAGGCTAAGCCTGAAGTATACTCACTTGCTCATTTTTTACCTAATTACATTTGATTACCACAGATGAGCATGACTTGATTCTTACTGATAGCACTGGAGTAGATGCACTGAATCACTTAGTCCTTTCTCCAGCTATAATAACCTGGATCATCTTAATGTTGCTCAAAGAGAAGAGGGTCAATTTGCTTCTCAATAAGGATGATCACTTTTCCTCCGTATTTCCTAGACTCTTCGCAGCATTCAGACACACGCCACTCATCATTTATCCTGTGAGTGTTGAATCACTACACTCCAAAGTACAAATTTGGTATAATCATTATCTTTCTTCCCATTTTTAATATTAAGGTCTCATTTATCTTCTCTAGAGCAGGCTTTTGTTCCTTCTACCTCTGAATGCTGCCAGCTCAGTTCATGGTTACTACCTCTTCTCCTCTCCTCCAAATACTTAGGTATCTGCAGACGTTATGGAAGTCCCTCTGGACATTAGACTTGGAAGTTTCCTTTGCTATGCTGATGTATCTCTTACTGCTTTTCAACTCCCCTTTGAAGTATCCAGCTATTCTTCTCCCCATAATCTAGCCTAACAACACATTTTTTAATGTCTTGAGCTATTGAGAGAAATGCTTCCCTAATTTCTGCAAACAATAGGTATTTATCAGTGTCCTGGCCATTTATAGGCAGCCAAGAGTGCAGAACAGCTGACTTCCATCTGTTAATGTAGAGTTTTCATTATAAACCAAACCTTCATCCTTGAGAAGGATGAGGCTCCCCTCTTCTACTTCAAAGGCAGAACCCAATAAATTTGTATTGAAAGTGAAATGCAGCTAGGAAGAACAGAAATGAAGCGCTGCTGTAACCATCACAGTACTCATTCTTTTCCTTACTCTATTTTGTAAGCATCAAAAATGGGCCCTACCGCTAGGGCTCAAGCAAATCAGGGGCTCAAAACTGGTTAAACAACAAGGTGTTTAGAGCAGTTATGTACCTGTAAGTGTTGGAAGCAGCAAGACTTGCTAAAGTTATGCCATGACCTGATAATCCTGCCTGCAGGGACAAAGGGGATGTTGGTCCTGTGTATCCTTTTCTGATAATCTGTGCTATTCCATAACATTTTGCTTATTTCACAATAAGATAATGAGTCTCGTGTGTTGCAACTTCACCCCAGAGCTACTTAATTCATTGGGCTGGCAAGTATACTGTTTGCTGGAGTGATAAATACCAGCAGAGCTCCCAGGTCAGCAGGGTTTGTGGCATGACCTCTGATTATGGTCTGGGCCGAGACTGGGAGAAGCATGAGTGCAGCTCTGCCAGACTCTGCCTTGTGACTGAAGGCAACTGAAGGTCATTTAAACGAGGGCCTTGTCCCTCCAACTGGCCACTTGCTGATTATCTCCATACTGTTCTCTACTAGAAGTTACTCCACAGGATGATCCTACAGCATCTCTGACAGTTACTGTGAGGGAATGGTGAATACAGTGATTTCCCTTGGCAAAGCAGAAGGCCTCAGAAGTGGGGGCTGTTTAACCTTAAGAAACTTCATGTTTGCATTTGGCTCTACCAGCTTGGGTGATTCAGCTGATCATTCCTCTGTTCCCAAGGGTTAGGTATCTGTGGCAGGTGCACCCGCCCTGATAAAGACCAGGGGCATTCTTACTTTTTGTGCCCTTAC